CTCTGAAGGGGCCGAGGTCAGTTTGGAACCAAAAGCGTGACGATCGCATTGGTGTCTAAACGTAAACATTTACTGTGTTCCAAAAAAGTAGAAATAATCATGTTACAGGGAAACACACTGTCAGCTAGGTAAGAGATTTTCTCCTCACAAAAAAAAAGAAAAAAAAAGAAAAAGAAAAAAAATATATAGTATGTGAACCAATAATCACTCCAGAGCCTCCCTCAAAGTTTCGGAACCTTTCACAAGTAGAAACCTGTCACCCCTGCACACTTCTAGTTCTTCCATCCAGATAAATTATCCCAGAACTAAATGTAGACGATGTGACGTAAACACACAAATTTCCTTCAAATATTCCTCATTACTCCAGTGGAAATACAACATTGTAAGTCTGTCTAATGTCATCCCATTACCTGTTCTCCCTTGAGCATTTTGTCAAGGTCCATCATGGCCTTCGCGTCCTCCTTACTATGCACAGCGGCGAGGTTGTGATGTTTGGTTTTGCAGTCATACAAGGCCTCATTCCATGTCTTTGGCTAATAAACAACATGGAAGCGAAGGCGAGCACTGGCGCACAATGCACATGAGCCTGAAGAAGAAAGAAAGTGACACGCGTGTAGACATCCACATCCAAAAAGTCAAATACTTGCCTGATGCAACGATAGCCACGACCAGTAGAATTTTGTCCATTGCTGTGGTCTGGTGCATCACTGTCAAGACTCTTATTTGGTGCCTTCATTTGTTTTCATGCAAACTAACAAAGGGAAGTCTTCTCACTTCCTCTTTCCATGACTGAATTCCACATGATGCCAATGAAGTTAAGTCATAAAATGCCTCATAGCAGCAGTTAATGAATTACAAACTGCACTGTCGTGGTGATGACTTTCCCATAGGTAGTCATGGAAATCATTTGTTGTTGAGTCAAACTGAGGCCATCATAACCGTGCAGCCACTGTTTGACATTCTAATATTCAAATGTAAGAAGAAGTTAACCACTGTAAAGCCAAATAAAAGTCAAACTAGCAAAGGCAAGGAACGTGATTGTAGAGCAATAATGGTTTTATGGCATTATTCCTGTAATAAATGCTTTGGTCGCATTTATACAAGTTGTAGTACTCAAGTGTCATTCAGAAACACCAACCTTTTATATGTGTCAAATACAGTACTTCATTTTTTGCAAGTACCTGTATTGTAATCACATTTATTTATCCATTTTATTTGGATATGTTTTGATTTTTTTTCCACAAATGTATCATCCATCTAAATTGCATTACCCTCACGAGGGTCGCGGGCGTGCTGGAGTAAATGTCATCAAAATTTCATCAAAGTAATGTCTTAGAGAATGTTTTATTTTTTCAATTTTAACCTTTTATATACAGGTAAATGGGACAGGATAACGCACAGACCTCTCAGAATGTAAACATCCATCCATCCATTTTCCGATCTGCTTTATCCTCACAAGGGTCGTGGGTGTGCTGGAGACAATGGAATACTCAGGGACAAAGGTGTTTTACTGTACATTACAGTACAGCACTGTATATGCAAAGACTATGCCGACATTTTCGAGAGGTTCGTGGGCCAAGAGCGACATCTACTGGTGAAATTGAAGTAATTTGGAAAAAAAATCGATTTAAAGCTCTGGAGATTTCTCCCTTTCATATTCACTGTTTTCTCATTATGTCCGGAATACTTATATAGTGCCCTCTCAGTCCTTGTCTATAAAGGTAGAATATTGACATTTTCATGTACCTGTGTTTTAAATATAGCCGACATAATAACAAAATTAATTTAGAAAATCTTTGTAGCATGGTTCAAAAACAAGTGGCGGATGCTGGTCTGTCAAGGAGGGGAAGCTCAATTTCGGCCTACATCATAAAATGTGTCCGTCTATTTATACGTGAATTCTACTCTCCGTTCCTTTTCAAAAAAATGAAGAGAATGCCTTCACCATAAGATCGGTAATTGGCTCATTTCGCTGTCAATCAAAAAGAGATTCAGCCTCAGACAGATCATCCAATCATCATGCAGAAAAGCTCAGCGTCCTGGGCCCGGCGATACACGCCCACTGTGCATAGACTCCCAGAGACGCTGAACGTCCGATGGGTGGGACAAAACCAGCATTTATCCAATGACTCGTCTCGTTTCAAAGCATTGGGACAACCAATCCGTGCGGTCGACGCTCAGCTTCCACGCAGTTTAAAGCACAGTGAAGCTGTGGGAATGAATGAGAAGAGAGTCGCGTCGTAACCAGTAATAAGAAGCTGATTCGGAACAAAAGTTGAGCGTGTTGTAGCGCATATTTAGTCAATGACATGTCCACACAATTGTACGTACACACATATATTTGATCGCTTACTTTTTGACATATTAGGGGAAACTGAGCTGCCCTTGCAGTCTTAGAGCAATCGCCTCTGTTCAAAACTATTTCACTGTAGAATCCCTGGAAATTTTATCTTGTATTTCTGAATGCAGGATCAGTGCTTCAGTGAGACATACAGTATGTTCAAGGAGGAACTCAAAGCCACATGAAAGTTTCAGATGATTAACCATCCACCACAAGTAGGAAAGATCAGTCATCAACCAGCAGGTCCATAGGCTTTGCAGCAGCATCCATCTCTTATTTTTGCAAAATTTTTGAAACATTAATATTGACAAGGTATTTTGTGAAATAAAGCAAAACTGGTAAATACTCTGATAAGATTGTTCATTTCTGTCAAGGGTGGTGCAGGGTGTGTGTGTGTGTCACCACAAAGCATTTATGCTTAGGGCACCAACATAACCCCAACTATTGCCCGAAGACAGCTGGGATAGGTGCCAACACGCCGGCAACCCTTATGAAGATAACGCTGTTCATTTTGTCAGTGATGAGTTGTTGAGAAACTGGTTGAAAGAAGAAGAAGAAAGGGTGATGGCTAGTTTACAACTCTGTCCATGTCCTGTAATGTTGTTGGTGGCTTCACTACTGTTTGTAACTGTAGCATATTGTACAAGAGTTATATTAAGGTGATATCGTATTTCAGGTCAATTCCTCAATTTTGCTTCAATGAATGAAATTCATAAATAATAAGTCGTCAGCCATTTTCACCTATCTATGCAACCATCAAGGATCGCGGGGGGGGTAGCTGGAGCCTATCCCAGCTGTCTCCGGACAGCAGCCGGGCGACACCCTGAACATTTCCCAATCAATTGCAGAGCACACACAGACGAACAACCATCCACGCTCACACTCACACCTAGGGACAATTTGTAGTGTTCAAGTAGCCTGCCATGCATGTTTTTAGAATGTGGGAGGAAACCGGAGTACCTGGAGAAAACTCACGCAGGCCCGAGGAGAACATGCAAACTCCACACAGGGAGACCAGAGCTGGAACTGAACTGGGTGCCTCTGCACTGTGGGGTCGATGCGCTCACCACTGGACCACCGGCCGCCCCAGTCATTTTCAGCCAAAGTTTTATCATGGACACATAGAACATACATAAATGCTAACAAGAAGTTTTTAAAAAAAAATCTTGCTCACACTGTTAGATTAGGAAGGCAATTTCTGTTGCAAGGGCCGGGCTGTGGATTATCCAATTTCTTCAGCCATGGGCGTCATTAGGCCTATAAAATGTCTTTAGCCCCCCTAAATAATTTCATTGCATTATTTAAAAAAAAGTATTATTTATTTTTCCTG